CCGAAATAATAAAAAAAACGTTCCGCCGCCACTGTCAAGATTGCTGACCCTAAAATCGGGAAAATCGGGTTGTTAGTACTTGTTACAGCAACTATTAAACATGGCGAGGGAGATTTGAAATTTCATTTTCACATTTTGTTTCGTGTTCAAGACAACTCTGAGACTGGGTTACCAGAAGAATGCTCTGAAGTAATCAAAGTGTCGACATGAATAACTAAGTTAGTATATTTTCTGTTTCAATATTCAAATTGCTAGACTTTGTGTTATAGATGATACTGATTTGCAAATTTTATGTTTTACACAAATCATTTCGCCAGTGTAGACATGTTATTTTAAAAATTTAACAGTCTTGAATTGTAATGTCATGTCAAAAGGCTTTTCTTATGGGAGGGGGGCGGTGGGTGATAAATACCAAATATTGAACATTTTTTAGAGCCGGCCCTATCGCAAGACCTTAATTATTATCGTCTAAACACAACTAAACGCCCTGCTTGCTGGGAACCAGCAATAATGCACTAATCAATGTTTTGCCCGACCTGGGCACAGGAGAACTGCCGCAATAACCGATGTTTTAAGCTAGTAATTAGTATTACAAAATAACTAGCCTGCTGCAGGTGATCTTGGGCTAAAGTGGCCTACTGTCCAGTGTGGACCTGGGGGAGGGCAGGCAAACATGGGGGATTGCATTATCTGATTTTCTTGCCTATAGTATCGGGATTTGATCTTATTTGAGACAACAGTAAGTGAGCTCCCATGGGTCAGGTGTTTAATTTGACAGTTTTTTTACCAGTTTCCTACCATTTGAGATCAATGGTGGTACTCACAATCTGCATTACGTTTTTCAAGCTACAGTAATTATTACATGCAAATGATGCAATATTCTTTAGATTGCACAGAAAAGATGGCTATTCATGAAGCATGGCTTTTTGAAGACGACAGTGTATTAGTTAAGTTTGATAACGGTTGCCGTCTACAGCTCTCATCATGTGGTGCAGTATTTCAATGCTTTTTCCCAACTGATAATGTCAAGAGTAGCAGTGTACCTCTCAGCAATGAAACACAGCAGTGTAGTCAGTTTGCCACAACAATGTGGAAAGATATGGTCAAACAGGCTGTTGATTTCAGAAATAAATTTGCATGCTATCCATACTTATGTTATAATCTTTCTGAAATTACTACAGCTTATGAGGTTTGTATTCCTGCACTACCGGTATTCATATTCTAAGTTGGATTTACTAAAGGCTGGCTTTTCCCCTACCATAATTAGCTCAAAATTATTTTCTTTCACCAAAATTCAAAAAGGATTGTTCAGATTGCCTTATAAAACCTATTAGTTTATTATTGAGTTAATTAACTACAGTGTATTGAGAATTAATCTTCCACAAAATTTTATAAAAATTTATTGTAAACATTGGTTTTATTTGACTTATTATCACAGTAATGTAAAATTATGTCTATAATGTCAATTTTACTGTTTTAAATATATTATGCATATTATGCATAATAATTATCTCATTTTAAAGCAACATAAAGTTGTAAATTCCATGTCGTGTACTTGGTCTGCTGAAGATCTTGGAGAGAACAGAAATTACGATCATGATGGTTCTATCAGCATTACCTCAAAAGAGAACAACATTACTGTCATCTTATCAGCGTGCAAGCAGAGCTTTATTGTCAATTTTCTATGTAAGGTTGGTAAATGTAATGTGAAAACCAATAACTATAATGAACATATGATATACTGTAGTCTGTAGAGTATGGTGAAACCATTGTGATAGCTTTTAATTTAAAAGACGTAATACAGTGGTGGATTTACAGTATATATTTGGGATGATACTTTGATTGAATAGAAGCAAATTATAATTTTGCTGCAAAAGTCTTTTGACATTATAAGTATTTGATAATGAAAATAAAAATGCTGGCCAGTGCTGTGTTCAGGTGTGCTTGGCTGCTCGCCCAGCACCCCCTGGAAAAACCTTCCTGGATCCACCATTGCTTGATACATATTGTGGT